CTTTCTCGTCGACGAAAGAGAAATTGCACCTTCGAGGCTTCGTTGGAAGATTCGTTCCATTCTCGCGTGATACGCTGAAAGTCATGTAAATGTAGATTAGGTGGTCCTCTTACGAGGGTGGCCTCCATTCGCGTTTGCATCGTGACATTGCCATTCAATCGACGTTTTCCCCGAAGATGTATCTAATCTTGCACGATCTCTGAACTTGTCCTCGGATCTCTCCTCTGCTCTCTCTATGCCCAATCTATTCCAAATTCCTGACACGGGTGCGAGCCATACAAAAAGACATCCTTTCTTCGGTTTTTCCACATTTTTACCTTTCAAATATTTTATTTTAAAATATGTTTGTGATAACACTCAATAAATTTAAAATAATGAAACAGAAAAGGGCTACGAGCCAAAAGTGTCGTTATATAATAATATATAATTTTTAGTAAATAAAAATTGTCATTTAGTTACTAAATGCCCTTTTCTGTTTCATTATTTTATTTTTAATTAAAATCATGTCTGTTCGCGCTGTTTAAAATCTTCAAAAATTTTCGCCCTTAAAACGAAATGACAAATTTTTCGGCATTGAGGAAGAAAGGAAGTGAAGATGTGGGGTGTGCAAAGAATGCAAGCTTGAATGCGAACAACGCGAAAAATCTGATGAAGATATCTAGAATTAGGCACTTGGCTCTTCAAATCTATATACATGTCAGTTCATTTTCCCTGAGTGTATGTCAACGGCATATCAAAGGGTAAACCAGCACCCTATGCAACTACAAGGGCAACCCTTCCTGCTGCCGGCTTACGTCTACAGCTTGGCTGTCTGCTTGACGATGCAGATTACTTAACCCTACGTTTCGTGCATGATCGATGACTCTCATCGTCGGAATTGACAAGTGCTTGTCCAGTTGACATGCGGTCGATCGGCGAGCACGTTATTAAACCGCCGTTCGCGTACGGACGCAATCCTAATACCAGACAGAGTACACAATTTGCCGTTCGCAAATAGACCCTATAGATCAGTCCGAGAGTGAATCACCGTGCGCCTACTGTATTGCCGATAATAATGCGATCGCAAATTAGGCTGACCTCCATCCAGCGGCGAGATATTGGCAATTAAATTCGACTGTAACGTTTAATTATCGTAATTGTTTACGAGCTAGCATGAAAAGTTTCTCGCGAATCAAATTCATCGTTGATGTCGTGTCGCAATAAATATCAAGTGTGGAACAACACAGCTCACTGCAAATTTCATATTTACAGCGATAGTCACGTAATCTCTTATATGTATACTTTTGTTTTGTCATACGTGGAAACAAGATTTTTTTTCTTTTAAGAATGTGCAGCTCGATCTGAAATATCTCGGCTGGGAAAACAACTCTGGACTACAGAACCATTCGCGATACGTAATAATGCAAATTAATTGCGAGATAACATTATAGATAATTGAGCAGTTTGCTGTGTAGGTTATTTTTGTTGATCGAAAATTCGCTCATTTATAATCGAGGCAATATGTAATGCATTAGCATATTATTCAAATGCAAAATTGCAGTTACGTTATTTTCATAAAAATAAACGGTTTGATTGATAGGATTTAATAGATTGTCTGAATAATTGCTGTGCGCGGCTAATGATAATAACAATTTGGTGAGTGAAATAAATTTCGTATGTACTGGTCGAATATAGCTACTCATGCAGAATATTACGATATACTACAATGCACAAGTATTTTCAAGTGCAAAATACAAGGGAAATAACCCACATTCGCGATTGGCAGCGGCACGAAATCTATGTAGGTTAACGCAGTTTTCTCTTGGCTTTATCAATTCCCTCTACAATTATTAGCGACCAGCAAAGTTTGCGTTCTTATATAACTGCGGACTTTATTCCGTAACTTTATTCTTGGCGACCCAGTTTCTCGAGCAGTTATCTTTTTATTTTTCGAGAACGTTATTATTCCTTTTTCCTCATTTTGTGTTATCTCCTAATACATTGTGCAAGCACGTTGCCCTTCGTGGCTTAACGACGAATAATATTTAACGATCAGCTTATCCTAAATTACTCTGTATATCGCACGAAAAATGCATTATTACAGTTTGCAATTTAAATTGTAAAAGGAGGTTTATGCGTCGGCGATATATATATATTATATATATTTACGCATTCGTGTTATAAAATTGCATAATATTCCATTCGTTGGCGCGAATACACGTATTGTGCTGATATATGTGAGACAATTAAGTTGTCACAATCATATATTATGGAATAAAATTGAATATATATATGTGTATATGTAATAATAATATTATATATATTTATTTAATGCAATAATACCATGTTAAAATTATGGTTTAAAAAAAAAACCAACTGAAGAAATAACGATAAGTTTTAACTTAAAAAAAGATTGCTTTAAATTGAAAAAGAAGTGTCGTATATTTTAATAGTATATTCTAAAAATAAAAAACTGACGAATATACAACAGGTATTGGTATATTTAATTTAAGCAAACATAATTTAAGCGGCAAATATACTTTTGAAAAATGCATGAGATTTAATTTTGCAATCTTGCGATTTTGACAATATACAACGATTTTCAATATATTTGTAATCGTGTAGTAACTTACTCCGAAAACAGCGATCTTTATCGAATCGGTTTCATCGTTCGGTTCTGAAATAATGACAAAATTGCAATTTTATTATATGTCGATAGAAAATTAATTTCCAAGTGAATTATAATTTTCTCTATACCTAATATAACTTTCAAAGCGCGATAAAAATTACATTATTACTCTCTTATAGATTTTATACAAAGATTATTATACATTCCAATGCTAATACAATTAATAAGAATTAATTTTAATAAAAATCACACGTGAAATTAAATGTGAGAATGAAAAGTTCGTATTTTTTAATTTCTGCACATATCCTGCTTACGTTCTTAATGCGAGCGCCCGGGAGTTTCACCCAGCGTGCTAATTATTTCCGTTCATCTGATACGCAGAGATTGGCGTTGGCATTTTTGCAATACGGAAGATGGGAAAGAGAGAAAAGGAGAAAAAGAGAAGAAGGATGGAAGCTAATGATAGAAGCGAGAAGAGATAATTAAATGCGGATTATCTCCGGTAAAATTCAATCTCTTGTTCACGCTAATTGGAATGGGAAGAAGATAGTTATTAAACAGCCTGCGGATAGATTCAATAATATTTTGCGATAACAAATCTACCGATCAGAGAGCGGAAAAGGAAGAAAGGGATGCATTTACTGGTCCGTCCGGGCCAGAAATGCAGGAGTATGACTAACATTTGTGCGCAGTACAACAAAGTTGAAATCTCAATAAAAGTTGTTTATGCGGAAGCGCATGTGCGGAATGTAATTTAAACTGTTATCATCGTGAAACTCCTTCTTTCCCTTTCTCTCGGAATTTTCCGCTGCACGAAATTACGATTTTCGCGATAAGGACTATGCGCGATAAATTGTATGTTTTACGCGATCGCAATGCTTGTTAACAAATAAAACTTACTCGTCGCGCAGATATTCGATTTCTGAATAAAACACGAATATTGAAAAATACAACAAGGCTCACAAATTGCTTTCTCGATAAAGCAACACAACGTTTGCATTTATAGTTATCGCCGCAGCTGCGTTATTTTCCCGCGTGCACACTTGACTTTTGACGATATTTCACCAATGTGGCCAAAGAGATTTTAGTTGCTCCAGCAATACAAAATTAATTTAAAAGAATTGTTTGCGTTATGATGGATAAATATAATAAAGCCAATTTTATCGAAAGCCACTTCGGCGACATTTTCGTGCGTCATGTTACGAGCGACAGCCAATATAACAATGCTTTTAAGCCATTAAAAGCTTAGAAAAGAGCCGCCGCACAAAATAATCGATACATGCTATCGGCTACATTTTGTTTTGTTTTCATATAGTCGTTTGTTTCCGGCTTCTTTCGCAACTGTCGTGGGGGTGCAACAAGTGTTACGTTGCTCTCGTGTCTCGAAGCAAACTGGCGAGATACCATGTTGCAAATCTACGAATAAATTTCTTGCTCACCGACCGCAGTCTCGTTGCTTGAATTGATATCTACGGCTCGTATTTCAGGATTATCTACTGAGATACGTTATTTTTGTTTTGCGTCAAGCTGCGCTTTAAGCTGGCTTACAAATGCCCCGGCATAAACTCCTAAAAAAAAAAAAAAAAGGGTAGATATGCGCACCATGTGCGGATAGCCGCTTTATTAAAAGTGCCCGCCATCTCGGAAAACAACGTTATTTGACGTTTACGCGGTCCTTTATAAACTGCCATTCTGACTTTCGCCACGATGAAATTACGGTCTCTTTATCATTGCCGCCTGATTCATAAAGTGCGAGGTAACAGTTAATGACATGTAAAAGAGAGCATTTTTATTATTCTTGGTAATACGCGCAATATTACGGACAATATGGATCTACATTCATTTTTCTTACACGCCTTTAAAACCACATAAGACATTTAAAAACGTTTTCTCTTTCCTTAGTAATATTCGCCGCGAATGTTGGATGTAGTAATAAAAGAATTTATCTCAGAAAGGAACGGAGACAAGAGACGTATGTATGTAAAAGAAGAAATAAAGAGTACGCTCTCTATAAATCGAAGAAGAGATTAAAATAAATATCAATAATATCCTCAAGATATTTTCAAGTACGCGCAGCTTTCGTGTCAAATGCACTTTTCTCTCGCAGATGTGCAGAAACATAAATCACATTCCCCGTGACGTTCCACGAACAGAATCGATTGGGACTTTTAGTCCATTGCAATATAAAACTATCCGCGCGTAAATCAAGCGCACGTCGTCCGCCCCATGTTCGTTCGATATCACGCTCGCGACATTTGCATCGTTAGCACGAGCGTCTGCAAAAAAAGGCACCTTCCCTTCCCCGCTCGCGCCCCCTCCTCTCTCTCTCTCTCTCTCTCTCTCTACTTCAAGTGGCATGTACTCGACGAACGCAATTTTCTTTTGTTTCCAGGCAGACCTATCCTGCAGAAACACGAAGCAGACCGTGGGTGCGATTTACACGCGTACAAACTTCGTGACGTTGAAATACGTCACCGACGGCTGGGGCACCAGCTCGAATGGCTTCCGCCTCGTCATCACAGCCGTCAAGGATCCGAGTGAGTATTTGTCGATGCGAGCCGTTTCCAACTTATTCGTGGGCCAATCGACTGGCTGACATGCAGAAATGCAGATCCTGAACGCGAAGCTTGAAACAAATTGCAATTTCTCAGTGCATGTAACACTCGATGTAATATACAAGAGAACGCATTCATTGTCTTATGTATTTCTCTGAAATCAATGCTCTAAGTTATGTGGTGTATATTGCGTGCAAAGAATGTACATTCGATCTCTTAAGAATGTATACGTATAATATTTTACATATTTATTGATAAAATTTATTGAAAAAAAAAACATTTTTTAAATTACGGATTTGTCTACATTATAAATATTTAAAAGTAATACAAATTTGGTAGCAATTTAGAATGTTGATCAAGAATTATTTCATAATAATAAGTAGACAAGTTTTCAAAAGATAAAATAAAATGAGAAAATTTTTATTTGAATTATAACAATATTATTAAATATTTAATATTAAATCATTATATATATATATAATATATTCAATTCTGTATAGAAATTATGAATTTCCCATTTTAATTATACTTGCAGAGACTACATTTGATCATAAGTATCAATCAATCAACTTGCGAATAGATTTATACAATAAAGCTGGCACGCAAAAATCCCTGTCTGTAGTGTCCAGTTTGACGAAATAATTTTTATATTTATACTATTCATTGTTATACTTCTTGTTAGACTAATCATTTTGAGATTTACTCAATGAAGCATATTATCGGGTATATTGGAAAAATATATATTTCCGGGTATATTGCTCCGAGAATGGAAATGTTGAATTTTTTTTATAACAATCCTCATTCTTTTCTTCCGCCAGTCGTTTTTATGCTTCACTGATTCTTTAATTCTTTCAAATTCTGTCGCGGTCGTCGTGACCGACTCGACTCTAAGTTTATCATTCAATCGCTTTTATTCATTAGCTCTCGAGCTATTAAATTTGCCTTTCAAATCCAGTTTCTTTAAAGCGCCGTGTCAATTCTTTTTCATCCCCGGGAGATCGTAGTTTCTCCAGCGTTCACATTTAGTGCATGATTTCAGAGTGCAGTCGCTTAATCGTGCGACGAACCTCAATTAACATTGGAATATTCTATTTGAGATACTGCTTCGATTAATGAATAACATCACAATTAAATCAGTCATCTACAAAGCCGCATAACTAACGTATCTAAAAGCGAGCTTCACCAAAGCATATAGAGCATTTATTTCAAGCATTCTGGAAACACAATAGATGTAGTAAGCCTTATGAAATCGAGCAATTGTAGTCGAATAATCGACTGTGATTGGTCAATCAATTTCTTAAGGCTTTGGGTTTACTGCACCTATTGTGTTTCGGGACTTAAGAATAATAGTTCCAATTAATCCATTGATTTTCGATAGAAGGGATTAAATTATGTATTGTTATGCTATAAATATGTATTAAATGAAATTTCCAGATTGTACATTTAAAAATGATAAAAAGATTATTTTACATTAAAGTTACGTGCCAAGTTTTCTTGGGCTTAAAAATAATATAAATTCCTGAAAAATAGTAAACAATTTATTTATAACATATCTTGGTTTTTTCTCAAACTTGATCTCTGATTTATGTAATTTTGTGAATTGATTTAATTGAGCGTTTATCACAAAATTTTAAAAAATATATCTTTATCGCAGAGAGTCGTAAAACTCACGCAAGGCAAACAATGCGCATAATTGACGCAGTTTAACGAGCCCATTTTCCAAGTTTTACGCGAGTTCGCGGCGAAACACGCGTCCAGAGACCGTTTTACATTTAACAACGTGATTTGCAACATAGCAAAAAGTTTGTGATGTAAAAGGATATAAATATTGAATAAAATTTGTAATTGAAATAGGAAGTGACACGGTAAGTGACGTCGTTATTGACGTATCGCACTGTCGACGTTGTTGGCTCGAAATTTTAATTCGACGATTCGATTCACGATTGACCGATCGTAGTTGCGAGAATTTCTCGTGACGACGACAGAAGCGCGACGGTGCGTTAACCCGCGAATTTCAATTCGCTTTATTCCATGCGAGAGTTCATATCGTATTTCATATCTGCATATATCGGCGTGACATGTAAGTAACGTATAACGTCGCGTCGGTCACGAGTCACATGACATCGGATATTAATGAAGAGTGATCTTGTTCATTCGCTCGCGACAATTTTTCGTTACGGATACGCGAGATGCGAATCGTGTCGGCTCGTGACGACGATAAATGCTGCTCTTGTCGCCCCGTCGACGATTTTGTCGAGAGGACCCCCCCCCGATGCCGACAAAAGACCGTTAATAATACGGGGAACATTGAAATGAAGTGCTCCCACCTCGGCTGTCTAATACCGAGGAAAAAGCGTACCACATCGCTCCTCGCGAATCGTTATCTCGCCCCTGCTCGTGAGCCCGGCGTAATATTTCCATGTAATAAGGTCTCTGAGAAACGAGCACCGGGGACAAATGCAGTCGCTATATTTTTATATCTTCATGCCGGAATCCTGATAAAATGCATAGACGCTCGACGTCATTTCGCGCACCCTTGATTATGAAACGCGCGCTGCATCGCTAAAATTGCGAGTTTAATATACTAATAACGTGTGTTGCGTGTTATACACGCAATGATATGCGCGCAACTATCACACGTTTATTCTACTTACTACACTTGGTTATTCTACAATATATAAAATCACAATTCAATATAATGAAATAAAGTGTCACAATAAAACGTCATGTCTAATTAAATGCAAGCAAGATAAATGTGGACACACTGCTGTTTTTCTCACAACGTTTTAAAAAATATTTCAATAAGCACTATGCTCTCAACTTAGTTTTCTTACACTATAATTTATTTTTATATTATTTTATCAGCATAACATATTATATCAGCGATTTGGCTCACAAGTAAATCGAAACGTGTAATGTAATTTTGGTCGTATATTATATTTATATTTGATACATTGTTTATTAATATATACAAAATGCGCACCCATTATCGCACTTGACTTTTATTTGCTCTTATTAGCTATTTTAATAAATTTTTAGTTCCACATCCTCTGCCAATTGTTATATTACAATAATAATTTGTACAGAAAAGCTTATTATATTAAAATATTGCCATTATTTTAGTTAAATAAGTATTAGATAGAGAAGTTGCATATTTTTTAATCGATTCTTTCGAAAAAACCGGGGTTGTCGTACAATATTTTAACGTTATGAAACAAAACTGCACGTGTGACACTAATAGCAATAATATAGAGGAAGCGTTAATCTTAAGCACTATGAGACTTCGACATTTCACACTTGAGATCCACATCCAAGATGACTTGAGAGTCTCAGCAAAGTAGCTATCCAGTCTCAGGACTCGACAGGTGTCGAACTTTAGCTCTCGTCTGCCGAACAATTTCCTCGAGTTGTAATCTTCCGGCGGTTATAAGGGGCACTTCAAGGATAATCCGAGAGAGTTAATATAAGTTAGTTTAGAACTAAACACAGGATGCGAAATCTCGGTCGCGTATACCATCGCTGTTGTTCTTCAGCTTCTATTTCATCGGTACCGCTGATTAAGAAACATGTATCTCTATCCCGAAAAGATTGTTAACTTTACCGTTCACAGATGAAACTTTCGCAATATCCACAACACGAGCAGTTCCGTAATTTTCCAACGTGAAGTTATTTATTACAGTCAATGCTTTCGAGAAAATAAGTCGTGCTAAATAAAGTATATCTTGAGACGAGACATCTTGTTTTTTTCTTATTATAAATTTGAATGTATAAAATGGTTCAAAGAAATATTATATATTATCTACTTTGTCAAAATTTTAAATCATTAAACGACTTGTTGTAATACTAGGCTGAACCATATCGTAAACAAATATGTGATATTATTAGAGTTTTAGATTTATCAGAGTGACTCAAAGATCCTAATAATCATACCATATTAAGGAATTATTACCAGAGAGTTTAATTAATTATTAAACAAGTTTATCAGATATCAATGCTTATTAAAAATAAATTAAATGTTACAATAATCAAAAGTTTTACTTTAAATAAATTATTTTATTAACCAAGAATTTTTATTTGGTTATATCCAAACAAGAAATTAATTAATTCAACTAAATGGATTTCTCACAGTGATAAGAAAACACGGGTTGTCGCGTAGATAACATTCGCTTAGATAAAAGATTTGCACTACTCTGACAAATACAGAGCTTTAAGTAAATTTAGAGCTCTAACTACTAGAGGAGTGCAAAAGTCCGCCATGTTTGCCCTTCATATTAAAGAATTAAACGCTTATTGGACGATAGATCATTAGGTAAAAAGTGGCAGTTGAAATAGGAAAGTTGTCAGCATTTGGCTTGTACGGGGTTCTGGTACATCTAGAGCTCTTATACATAAAAATGGGTGAATAGGATTCCCTATTTGTTTCAAAGGTTGAGCTAATCTACAGCTGTTACGTATATATAGCGACTCGTATTTTTTTTCTCACTCAGCAATGTAACTATTCGATGCAGAGAAATGTTTTATTTCTCCCATATTCTTTATTCACGATCTGCAACCCGTATAATAAATTTTTCAAACATTTGTCAAAACATGACAAAATTTTTGTAGCATGTACAAATAATAAATATATTTTCTCCAACTTTTTAATTTTCGAGTTTATTTTCTGTATTTTTACAAACGTTTCTACAACGTTAGCTTATTGTTGTAGCAATCAATTGCAACAATAATAGCAAAATGATGTCCATCATTCTCTAAGTAATTGTCGAGTAAGAATGTCAAATTCTAATATTATTCTCTCTAATGTCCGTACTTCGTGATTAGATCGAATTAAAATCGCCAGTGGACACATCGAAATCAACGATCTAACAGCCATTGTTGCAGAAATATCGCATAACTAAACACGCGCTCGTTATCGAGCGCAAGTCACGGTTCAGTGACATCACAGTAACGTCGCACCAATTTGCCGTAATTATGCAGAATGTGAA